TTGGGAAGGGTCACTCGCTCTGATAGATCGGGAGCGATGATATCCAATTCATGGCAATAACAATCTTCCTTCACAACGGGAATACTGGAAGGACGAATGGAAGAAGGGTACCTGCTAACAGCTCATGTACGGGGGTTATCAGAAGGGAATTTCTCCTCACAATCTTTTGCAGTATTGAGTCTTTTTGGTATGATGGAGTCTACGGTTGGAGCGACAAAGTCGTCGGTTTTGTTTCTGCCTTTTGAAAAACCAGTACGTTTTGAAGAGGAAGCCATCGAAAAAGAGAAAAGATTCTTTCTGTTTGAAGAAGACGAAGACTCGGTAGGCGAAATAAGATGAAGGAAGTTGGAATATAAGGGGAGAGTTGATACGTATAAGTAAAGTTTTGGCGGCTAAATCCTTGGCTAAGATTACCTCGAGAACCGGTAAAAGACGTGCTAAATCATGGGAAGACGCGTGTTCGGGGCATTAAATACGGAGAGACAGGCGTCTAATCAACCGGTAGTGGCCTTCAAAAGGAATTATAGTAATTCCCGCAAAAAGAGTGTTTCTACTAACTTTCCGATAACACAAAGTTATGTCACTGGAAAGCAGAGGGACTATCTGTATTAGGTAAAATATTTTATGGCATGTGGTCACCCAAGAAGGGGATACGTGGAACCTAAACCGGGAGGACGAAAAACCGGACGCAGCTATCTCTGTGTCACCGGAAAAGGTAACGTTCATAAAGGCATTGAATACTCTGCGCCCGGTAGCATTCAATGGGGAATATTCCACAGCATTAAGAGCAACGGCCCGTTATAGAGAATTTGGCATTTATGTTCACCGTTACATCTTCATCAATGCTCCTCATAATTGACATTAAAGAAGGGCACGACCCTAGTACCTTCTTCATAGCTATAAATAATAAGCTCAATGATCATTGTAAAAGAGCACGAATTTTCTGGCTAACTCACACTACATTCTATACAGAATTTTAATACATTTTTGCTTTCTCGCTCTTTGATCTCATCCTTATTGTGCCCGGAAATCCCATTCCTGGACTCGTCAGTTCTGTCATTTCATCTATACTCTAAGGCTAAGTATTTTATATTTCTTCAGTTATTTCATTACTTTTTGGATCAAACTAATTCACTTGTCTAGAAACCACGAACAAATTCAACCGTACCGTTTTACGGGCAAACAACTTTATAATCATAAGAAAATTTTCAGTTCTTATCAATTATTATGTAGGGATGGCAACGGGGCGGTGCGGGTGCGGGGACGGTGCGGGTTAAAGAGCACACGAGGCGGGGCGGGTTATAGGATATGCAGGTGGGGGGCGAGTTCAAACATCTTTTAACAAAATGTATGCGGGGGCGGGGCGAGTTGAAGTTGTGATCGTGCTCGATGTTATTTTAACAATTCCTCACTTGTTTGGCTGAATAGTTGTTATGGTTCTTTCCAAAAGGTTTGTAGCTTAAAACTTATCAAAAGTTTTTTTTTTCTTTCTAAAATAGAGCAAAACTCTTAAAATAATAACTATCCAAAAACTTAATCAAAAGCTTATTTCTGAAACGTTATTCCAAAACAATATTCAAACAACACCTGTATGCGAAAATCATTAGTCCTATGACTAGGAGCCCCAGAAATTCGAAGATTTTATGGTAACAATATGGAGGAAAAGTTGACCAACGCGGAATATTCCAATATAATTATTAATTTAACTAAAATTTAATTTCAATGTTAATTACTACGATCATAGTACATATCACAAAGATTGCAAATCAAAGTCCATAAGTTTTCAACAGTTTGTTGTCAAAAGGTCATTAAAAAAAAGTAAGATTTCTCATCATCTGAGTAAAAAAATCTATTGATTAAATGCTAAAAATGGAAAAAGTTGAAGAAAATTTAAGCGGGCCAGTTGCACGGCGGTTTAGGACAGGTTTATACGGAACGGTGCGGAGCCAGTGAAAAAACAAAAAAGTTTGCTATGCGGGACGGGGTGGATTGAATCTTTGCGGGTTAAGAATGAACCCGCCCCGCAATCGCCATGCCCCGTCCCACTGACAGCCCTTATGTCTTTCCTTTGCTGAGGAAGCAAAGTTAGCACTTACCCGATCTGCACCTTAAATATGCTTGAAACTAGTGAGTATATATTTCTCATTCTTTGTTAGTTTTTCGTCCAAATGTTTTTCCCCTTTCAGTGAACTTTTTACTATTAAATATGTTATAATTATTACACTTAATATTGTTTCTGTTATAACTTCTAAATATACGTTACTTATTATTTTTGCAATTACTCAATGTTTACCCTCCTATTTAGTATGTATCATATTATAATCTTTAAGATCATGATCTTTATTTTGGTGAAAATAATATAAAAATTTCAGTAACCAAGAGGGAGGAACTGATGGTTATTCCATCTACATAGAAGGACTAGCAGTGAGCACGTTTCCTTGAAGACACATAAAAGCAAAGAAAAAAGTTGTAGAAATTGTACAATAAAATTTGTCATCTCGATGTCAAAATTTGTGTTGGTTTTTTTTTCACACTTATTTTGTTTTAGACTTTCTTATTCTTTTTTTGTTTTATTTTTCTTTTTCCCTTTCATCTCTCCTCCATTAATTTTAATATTAAAGAAAATTAATAAAAAGAGCTTACAATAGTATATATTCCATGAGGATCATTCCAAAAAATATATATTCAGATTATAGAACATAAGTTATTGTCTTTACTTGACTATACTTCGGCATAGCATCTCCAACAATGTTTCGTCATGAAACTATTCACTTTCTATTTTCCATTTAGATTAAATCCATACACATGCAAAAAAATTGTGAATACAAAATTTCAGTGTCTGCCATTACCATGTATGATAATTAATTTTTTGAAAACTCTATTTCTAGTAATCTGAAAGGGTCGCAATTGATTGATTCACAACAGAATATTGACAGTTGTAAAACATATTCAACACGATATATAAGTCTCTTATTTTTTATTTGGCTCCTGAAGAATAGTATTTATATCATCAACTATTAAGTTAATGGTCTATCAGAAACAATATCTCTACACCCTAGGGTAGGGGTAATTGTCTTTTCAACATAGCTGCATCTCTTTTCGGGAGACAGTTGAGTCTCCCTGTTTTTTGTTCCATTCTCAAGCCCCTGAACTTATGAAGTCTTGTTTCGGTAGTGGACCAATTTGTTAACATACGACCGCCAAGCTATTTTTTATTAACATAATGACATCGGAGGTCTGCATACACACCATTCTCCTCATACCCCATTTGTAAAATTATACTTGATTGTTGTTGTTATTGTTGTAGTATATCATCAACCGTTGAATTCATCACAACAATACCTCCGTGATACCATGAAAGAAAAGAACAGTTGAGGTACATAGGCTTGCTCAGTTGCTTGTGAAGCTAATCTTATTTATGCCCATAGAATCAAAGAACTTCTGAATTTACAGGGAATTCATTTTCCAATAATAGCAATTTCATCTTTTAGAAAAAGTTGAAAAAGAATGGACATCAGACATGTATTCACATTTACTTTTCGCTGACTGACATTCTAAATTGCTATCTCAAACAACCAAATCAGGAGTCACTGCAGGGAGAAAATAGTTGCAAATTATAAGTAAACCATCTTCATTAAAGCAACAGATGAAAATACGTGTATTTCTTTGATAATATAGATGAAATAACATAAATTATTTGCAATCATAACCACAAATTGAACTTGAAATATTGACTGAGAGAAGTATTTCATGATTTCAGTAGTATCATTTTTTCGGACTATAAAATTTATTGTATTCTTGAAAAAAATCACGTATATAAATGATAGAACATACTAACACTTTCTTACGTGAAAGAAAATATCCTAAATTCAGAATATGTAGTACTGCATTGAGGTCATAAAAGCAGTCTAGTCTTCCCTTGTTAAGATCCTGAACCAACAAATGTGAAGAATATTGGCCAAAAAAAGGAGAAAAAAGAGAAATGTGTTTCTTGGCCAAAAGAGAGGTGCCAAATCATCACTCTTTGTCCCTCATTTATATATATATATATAGAGAGAGATATAGATATTCAGCCAAAATTTTGGCGTTGACCACAAGACATTTAAATATGTATTTTCTTGAGTGATCACTTGAGTCATTAGTTTATGCAAATCTTCGCTCAAAAAAAATGTGAAAGAATGGTGGTCGGGTGAAAATGGAGGTGGTGGTGGAAAAAAGAAGTAGAAAGGGAATAAAATGGAATAAGTGCGATGAGGTGACATGTCACGTGTCATCCAGCGATATTCCAGGCCACATGGTATAATATTGTTATGGTGGAGGGCTCTAATGGCAGGGGATAGTTTTGTACCGATTTTATGATGTCATGACAGTGATGGATCAATAGTGTTACGGAAGGTATAAATAAATATTTTCTAATAGTAGATGAGTATTTTTAATCCTTCTCTCCGTAAAACAATTCTAGCATATATCCTTTTACCTTTTAGTTTTCTTGATATTTTGATGCTTAGTTCCATGTCTATGCATTCTTAACCCTTCCACCTAAAGTTATCTGCATCTAGTCCAGGCAGGATAACATGATCATTTATTTTAATCATAATAAATTTTTTGAAGAAGTTTATTACACCTAGTTGCACTTAATTCTAGTAGTCATCCAAAGTTTTTATCCCGGAATAGGGCGACAAACGGACGGGTCGGAACGGATATAGGCGGGTCGAAAACGGATAAGGCAAAAACGATAAGTTATCTGATCCGACTTATATTTAATACGGATATTATCTTTGACTTTTTGAATATAATCGCTTTTGGGAGAATTTCTAGTCTTCCAAACTTGAGGAACCCCAATTTTAGTCTTTACAAAGGTAAAAGTTAAACTCATTAGTTATCCATTGGTTATCCATTTTCTAAGTGAATAATATGATTCTTATCCATATTTGACCCGTTTTTAAAAAGTTCATTATTCAATCCATTTTTTAGTGGATAATATGGGTGGATAATTTTTTTTAATCCATTTTGCCACCATTATCCACGAGCTTCACAAATTCACGAAGTTCAATTCTTCCATCTCCGTTTTTATCAAATGCCATAATCTTCTTCTTGCAATCCTCCACTGAAAATTCAGAGACACCCACTCTACAAATAACTTTCTCCAACTCTTGTGCATCAATGTATCCATCTCCATTCCAATCAAACATATGATCAAAAGCTTCCTTCACCTCTTCCAAACTTGGCTCTGTTTCAGCAAACAAATGCAAAACCTCATCCAAGTCTAGTTCATCTTGAGTAGCATCAATACTTGAGTTTTTAAAAATCATTAGTCTGTCCATTATTATCTCTGTTAGGGCCGTGCGGAAACTAGTAAAGCAAACCTTGAACGACGATAAATTATAAATAAAAGAGACACAAATATTTAACGTTATTCGGTCAACTGACCTACATTCACAAGCAGAGATGAGCAATCTGCTATATATAAAAGAGTACAAAATATCGAGAGAACAACCTCACGAAGAGGCAAACACAAATGGCACACTAACATTTGTCCCGAAAAATTCCCCCCCCCCCCCAAACAAGATTCTCAAACCCCTTATGACTACATTGTGGATGCTACTGAATGAGAAGAAAGGATCCTCAAATTTATAGAAGTCCACACCTTTTTCTTCAAAAAAAGGGACTAGCCAAATATGGAAGATTTACAATTTCCTTCTAAAAGAGAAAAAACTCAATTATGGTAAATATGTTGTCATTTCCTTCCAGAGATAAGAAATCCAAATATGGTAAGAAAATCAGGATAAATACCTAATAATTCTCCCCCTTGGCCTGGATTATTTGACAAAATAAACTTGATCCACCTTCTTCACATGATCTTCAACAGATCGCATCTCCAAATCTCCACCACAAAATTTGTCTCAATGTGAGTAGCACTCTCGTCAAATTTCTCGATAAAAATCATGATTACTGTCAAAAAGGTTGCGGCTTGAACTAAACCCAGCAAGATGAACCTGCCTTAAACTTCGCTCTGATACCACTTGTTAGGATCGAAATAATCAGGTGTCATCCGGAAGCTAGTAAAGCAAACCTTGAACGACGACAAAATCAGATAGCAAAAGAAAAATATACCAAAAGAGACAAACATTAAACGTGGTTCCGTTAACGAACCTACATTCACAGACAGAAATGAGTAATCCACTATGTAAAAGAGAGTACAAAATATTGAGAGAACAGCCTCACGAAGAGGCAAATACAAGTGGCACATTAACACTTATCCCGAAAAGTTCCCCCTCCCCCAAACAAGACTCTTAAACCCCTTATGACTACATTGTGGATTCTACTGAATGAGAAGAAAAGATCCTCAATTAATAAAATTCCAGATATTTTCCTCCAAGAAAAGGGACTAGCCAAATATGAGAGATTTATAATTTCCTTCTAAAAGAGGAAAAACTCAATTATGGTAAATATTGTAACGACCCGACCGGTCGTTATATTTTTTTTTGGAATCCCGTTCCCCTAAATAAGATTCCCCGTATGTACTTTTACTGTTTTATAACTTGCAGGGATAGTTCGTTCGAGATTTGGAAGGGTTCGGGCTGAAATCGGAACACTTGGCTCCTTAAGTTGGCCTTAAAAGGGCTAAGTTTGACTCCAGTCAACGTTTTGAGTAAACAACCTCGGAATTGGGATTTGACGGTTCCAATAGGGTCGGGTTTTGGATGACCCGAAAGCGTTTCGGCGCCTAATAGTGAAAGTTGGCATTTTGAGTTAATTTCAGAAGTTTGGGTTGAAGTGGATCCTTACATTATAGACTTCCATTTGGTATTCTGAGCCTGAGAATAGCTCTGTATGGTGATTCTGGACTTAGGGGCGCATCCGAAATTGGATTTGGAGGTTCGTAGATCGTTTCGGGGTCATTTGGCGAAAAATAGAAATTTGAAGTTTTTGGAAAGTTTGATCGAGGGTGGACTTTTTGATATCGGGTTCAGATTCCTGTTCCGGAAGTTGGAGTAGGTACGTAATGTCATTTAAGACTTGCACGCCAAATTTGGCGTCATTCCGAGTTGATTTAATAGGAATCCGACGCGCAGCCGTATTGTTAGAAATTTTTGAGTTCATGAGTTAATCCATGTGTTTTGGCGTCCGATTTGAGGTTTTTGATGTTATTACAGTGTTTCGATCGCTTGAGCAAGTTTGTATGATGTTATTAGACTTATGTGTGTATTTGATGTGGAGCCTTGAGGGCTCGGGTGAGTTTCGGACATTTGGAAGTATGAGAAAAACTTCAGTTTTCTGGTGTTTCTTAGCAGCTGTTGCAGGTCTTGAAAATGCGAGAATTTATTCGCATTTGCGAGGAAGGCTTCGCAATTGCGAAGAAGCCTAAGATGGGCAGTGTTCGCATTTGCGACCTTGACAGTGTTCGCATTTGCGACACTTTGGTCGCATTTGCGACCTTGGCAGTGGAAGCTTAGGGTTCGCATTTGCGAGGAGTTTGTCGCATTTGCGAACCAGATGTCACAAATGCGACATTTGAGGCCTATGCACAGCTTATTAAATGCGGGACTTAGGCCATTTAGCTCATTTTCTCTCATCTCTTGGGCGATTGTTGGAACTCTTGGAAGGGAGTTTTCACCTAGCACTTTGAGGTAAGTAATTTCTACACAACATGAGTTAGATACATAGATTATGGGTAGATTAACATGTAACAAATTGGTGAAATCAAGGGTTTAGATGAAAACTTAGGTTTTGGATAAAAATGGGATTTGACCATGAAATTCGTTATGGAATCTAGTAAAAATCATATATTTGAGTTCATGAGGTTATGGGTTCTTCAAAAAAATTCGGAATCCGGGCATATGGGCCCCGGGATGAATTTTAAGAATCTTACATTTGTGTTGGGTAACCTCTTTAATAGTTAGAATATGAACTTCTGAGCCTATATTGACTATTTTATATAACATTTGACTAGTTTCGAGTCATTTTGGCACCAAATTGAGGGTTTGAGCACAAATCTTAGATCGGAAGTAGGCTTGAGACAATGTAAGTCTCTTTTCTAACCTTATAAGGGGAAATTAACCTCATAGGTGAACTAAATTCAAATGTGTTTCTATTTATGGGGGGGATACGTACGCGCGAGGTGACGAGAATCCGTACGTAGCTACTACTCATGCTTATGTCCGGGTAGTTTTAGGTTTCACCATGTTTTGTTGACACCGTTATTTGATTATGCTTATTAATTGTCTTGAACAGAGTTGAGGTTGAGGATGTCAAGATCTTAAGAGTTTCGAGTTGAATTTCTTATTTGGAAAGAATTGAGGGATATTATGATAACTTGATAAAGGAAAAATCTATGTTCAACCGCGTCGCAAGTATATTCCGCGAGGGGGTAAATTTTTCACTACTCTCATGGGAGCGGGTCGTTCGCCTCGGCAGGTTAATAGATGCATATATGGTTCGTGTCGTTCGACCCTCGGCAATGCACACAGTTTATGTTTATATATATTTGGATCGGGTTATACGTACTCGGCATAATTCGTGCGTGATAATACTGAAGCCCTCTTATATTTGATATCGTTTCATTGACTTGAGAGGTTAAATAGTTAAATTGAGGGAAGAGATTTGGTTCTTACTATGGTAAAAGTATTATTTATTTATTATTGCTCCAGGTTCTATTGTCATCTATATATATCATATTTAATTAGAATTTCACAGTATGTTATATTATTGGCCCATAGTAAGTGTCGAAGTCGATCCCTCGTCACTACTTCTTCGAGGTTAGACTAGATACTTACTGGGTACATGTTGTTTTATGTACTCATGCTACACTTCTGCACTGAATGTGTAGGATCTGAGGCAGGTACATCTGGATATCAGTCCGGCGCGCACACTTGATTACCACTTTGGGGCTTTACGGTGAGCTGCCTTTTGAGTCATTCTACAGCAGTCAGAGTCTTTCTTTTGATTGTATTTTCTGTATATTTTACTTCAGACGGTAGACTAGTATTCTTTTGTATATTCTACTAGATGTTCATACACTTATGACACTAGGTCTTGGCACACACTAGTAGACTTGCGGTTTTGGTTTTGTTCTATGATTATGATCGCACACAGTTGCTTTCGTGTTAATTATTTTAGATATGTTATTCTCAAATCTTTTTTAATTTAGAGAAAGTTTAATTACTTGAAAAAGAATTTGTTAAAAGAGGAAATGACGTGACTAGTTTACAGTTGGCTTGCCTAGCGGCGACGTTAGGCGCCATCACGGCCTATTATGAAATTGGGTCGTTACAAATATGTTGTCATTTTCTTCAAGAGATAGAAAAATCAAATATAGTAAGAAAATCAGGACAATCACCTAACAATTCTCTCCCTCTTGGCCTGAATTTTCTGACAAAATAAACTTGATCCACCTTCTTCACATAATCTTCAATAGGTCGCATCTGCAAATCTCCACCATAAAGTTTTTCTCAATGTGAGTAGTACTCTGGTCAAATTTCTCAAATAAAAATTATGATTACCATCAAATAGGTTGCGGCTAGAACTAAACCTCTCAAGATGAACCTGCCTTGAACTTCGCTCGGATATCACTTGTTACGATAGAAATAATGAGGTGTCATGCGGAAACGCAAACCTTGAACGACGATAAACCAGATAACAAAAGAAAAATATACCAAAATAGACACAAACATTTAACGTTGTTCGGTCACTAACTTACATCCACAGGCAGAGATGAGCAATCTACTATATAAAAGAAAGTACAAAATATCGAGAGAACAACCTCACGAAGAGTCAAACACAAGTGGCACACTTTATTATTATTTTTATTTTTATTCCATATTCATCTCCTCCATTACAATTCTATATTACTTTATTACTTTATTTTTATTATTATTTGTCTCTTTATATATACCTAATTATGTTTATGTAATATCTTTATAATATTAATTTTACATCTTAACTTTGGCGTATAATTTTGATTAATTAATTTTTGCGCATTTATTATTTTTATGTAGTACTTAATCTAAATTTTATCATAATATAATATGTATTTAATTATCTTGTATCTCAATAATTTCACTTTTATTTAAATTATCCGTTAAAATATATAATCTATAATATTTGCTTGCAAATTATATTATTTAAAAATTTATGGTATAAAATAATTTTATATTAAATGGTTATATAAGAAAGAAATATAAATTATATGTGATAAATATGTAAAAAAGAAAAAAGATAGAATTTTTTTAATAGAAATAAGAAAATAAAATTTAAATAAAAGATAATAATATAATATTGAATAGAGAGAAGAATATAAAATGGAATATATTTTTTGGAGTAA